CCGGGAGCGGCCACCACACTCCAGTCTGGGTGACAGAGTGAGACTCCAACTCAAAAAAAACAAACAAACAAAAAAAAAAACATATAGTCTTTTACATATATCTCCTGTTTGTGAGGAGACACAATAAAAATAATTGTGCTTTTTTTTTTTTAAATACCAATAACAGTTACTAGATCTGAGGGCAATAAAAAAATAGACCAAAAAAAATTTATTCTTAAATTTAAACGGCTTTTCTGTCTTTTTTTCCAGCCTGGGCAACAGAGTGAGACTCCAACTCAAAAAGAAAAGAAAACTTAATGTGTGGATGAATGGGTAGATGTAGAAAGCCGGAGAAAGAGAAAAATAAAGGCTGATACCTGGGGGCCTGATGGTTACTTCACTTACAGAGGGAATAGAGGAATAGTTTGGAGAAAATGAAGATGGGTTCAGTTTGGGGTATGCTAAGGTTTGAGGGGCTAGCTATACAGGAAAACGTGAAGGGAAGTGATTCCCCTTTGTTTTAGGAGGTAACGAGATTTCTGCCTGGGTCCATTAGCTGGACCTGTGTGCAGTGGTTACATAATTTGGCCAATGCTATGCAGCCCCTGTGCTTTTTTTTTTTTTTTCCTTAAACTGCTTTGGGAGATAGGGATAGGTGGGTGGAGGGCAGTAATTCTAGAGAGCTAGCAGAATAGGGGCCAGTCTGCTGCAGGCCCAGAGCAGTTCAGCTTCCAAAACCTGAGCCTTCCGGCTTGTGATGACATGCTGATTCACAATCTACTGCTCCCTCAGGCCCAACCTCATAATACGCCAAGTCCCTAAAGGACATTCTCAGAAGATGGTGCTGTCAGTGTGAGTGGTGCTGCCATCCAGTCCGCTCCCAGTCGTGGGCAGCTGATAACTAGTGACTGAAATTCTTCCCTGCCCATTACTTTCTTAGACGGTATTCAACAGGTATTGATTGGAACTCACCACACTGCCCTAGAGACTGGGAAACATAAGCATTAAGGAATACAATCTTGGCCTAAGAGGGGTTACGTCCTAGTTCACAAAAGTCAATTCAAATACAAGCATCTGGTCTGGGCTCAGTGGCTCACGCCTGTTCCCCCAGCACTTTGGGTGTCCAGGAGATCGAGACCAGCCTAGGCAACATAGTGAGAACTCGTCTCTACAAAATAAAAATAAAAATTAGCAGGGTGTGGCAGTGTGTGCCACTCCCAGCTACTCGGGAGGCTGAGGCAGGAGGATCACCTGAGCCCAGAAATTCAAGGATGCGTGAGACCCTGACTCAAAAAACAAAAACAAAAAGCATCTACACATGGCACAGTCCAAGGGCGGCTTACTGTAGTTGAGGTCACCCAAAAAGACTTTGTGGAGCAGATGCATTTCGAGAGGGTCTTGGAGGAATGGGAGCTTATGGAATGGGAGGAAGGAGGACTTTTTTGATTGAGAGACACTACTAGAACGAAGATGGCAGCAGTGCCTTTGACACGTTCGGGGCAGAAGCAAGCTTGGAGTCTGTTCAGTAGTTCACTCTGGGCGTTTTAGTATTGTAGGCAACCAGCTGGTAACGACCCCGCCCCCTTCTTTCAAATAAATCCCAGGTGGGCGCATGCGCACGGAGGGCAAGCGCTGCATTACCATAGAGGCCAGGGGCTAGATCGCCCACCTACTCGGAGGCAGACATTTTGAGTCCTGGCAGGAAGGTGGCAAACGGCTGCGATCACTACCAAGTCAGGATGCACCTCCCAAGAACGTGAAAACAAAAGAGCTCCCGTGGGAGCGGCAAGAGCCAGCGACAGAGCGAGTCGTGATGTGTCCCTCGGAAGCGCTGACCTCGAAAGAGTCGCCCACCTCCCTGCCCTCATCTGAGATGGCGGCCGTGCGGGCGCTCTAGCCGGGTTCTTCGGATGCCTGGAGGGGGCGGCGGCCTCGTTCTCGCTCTGAGGTGGCCGCGGCGGGCGTTGCAACCCGGCTGCGCGGTGGCCCTGCGTGGCGTGTGGTGGGCGAAGGGTGGGCGTCGCTCCCCTCCCGCGCCGGGCTTCCTCAGCCCCCCTCCAGCCGGAGCCCTGGGTCTCGCGGCCGT